TTTGTTTTTGAGTCAGTTTAGAGGTTTTAGCAAGCCCTCCTAATTCCCGGTTTAGAACGATCCCTACTTACATACTTTGCTACAATTGTCAAAAGAGGGTTTAATTTGTGTGCTTATATTATTCGCATCATATATCCATCATTCCCATCCATAAAAGATAGAACTTTATGTTTTGCAACTGCATCAATGGACAGGTTAGCCATAGGCATAGGGTATTCATCTTTGGGAGTTGCTTCGTTAATGTTTATATAATCAACACAACATCGAATGGCATTAGTTACAACTTTTAATACAAGTACAATGTTGGCCAACCACTCTACATACTTTGTAGGTCTAATAAAGCCTGCCTTTACTAGCCTCTCAATTTCCTCTTTGACTTTCTCTTATCTTTTTCAACATCCTCATTCGCGCTTTCTTCACAGATTTATAACCCTCCTTAATAGGCATTATGTGTTCCTCTAAATTGGAGTCTAATATAGGCATCTCTATGTAGTGCCATGCAAAACAGTCATTGAACTTGTGCAAAAGATCAATTATCTTTGCCCAATCTCTAGCTTCCAGCAGGCCACTGAGTTGTATTAGCCTTGGGTCCTCCTCAGTTCCCAAATTAATGGTTTCTAAGGGGTCTTGAACTTCAGGTGCTGGTTTATCAGGTTATGTACACAAAAATTCTACTAACTTTGGAGCCTCAGGCTCATCCTATGGTCAATCTAAGTCATATATACGTTCTGCCATGTGGATGGCTGCTTCTACTTTTCTCCCAAAATTCATTCCCTAGATTATCTTTGGTGCCTGAAGTTCATTCTCCCCACTATACCATTTTTTTGGCTGAGCTCTCTTTGACTTCTCTCTATTCTTTCCCATATTCCAACAGTCTCTTGATTAAGGACCTGACTGTTACTATATGGTCCTTCCTCTTTTGGTATGTCATCATTGATGTTGGTTAGCTGGGACAATATGATGCCTATCCCATTCCTCTTAAGTGAAAGACAATTCTTGTTCTAAGAGCTTTTAGGTCGTCACCTTAGTAGGGCGGTCGTTTTGATCAGCACATAGACATTGCAAGATCCTAACATTAGGATGGTAAAAATTGGCTTCAGCAACATTGGCTGTGGGGAGAAATGGCAGTGACTCGGCCTCCATTATCTCCCAAAATCTTTGTTCCTCAGTGGTGGTCTCATGATAGATGACAACTTGTTAGTGTAAGGTGGATGACATTGACAAATTTTGGTGGATCCAATCCCTTTCCAGCTATGCCCCATAAGTAGAGTTGTTGTCCACTACAAAGAATGCTAACATAATCTTCTTGGATCCCAAGTTTACTTTCAAAGGCAATATCACATGTGTTTTGGTGATAGCCCCAAAAAAACTAAATACTGTGAGATCAGTAGGAATAAGGTCTTCCTCCCATCTACAAAGTCTCTTTATTTATCTAAGTGGGAGCACGTTAACTACTGTCCCCATCTATAAACACCCTCTTGAAGGGAACTCCTTCGAAATAAGTTGTGACATATATAGGCTTTAAATGGTTTGTTAAGGCTAGACCTGGCTTGTTGACCACCATCTTGTTATAATAAACTCTTTTGGGCTCTTTTCGTGTGGGATCGGGCAAGTCTGCCAAGCTTGATTCCTCTTTACTAACTTCCTCAATGTTTACCAATGTCATCATTAGCTCTTGTGCCAAATAATCATCTTCCATTACTGTTGGTTGATTTGGTTTTGCACAAAGCATGACTAACAGTACATAGGTCATATTCACATGAAAGTTGATAGGTCAAGGCATTCCTTATTTCGTCTCTCTAATCTGGAATATAAACTTATCTATCCATGCTTGAGCATCTTTGGTCAACATCAACTCGGGCACTTCTTCTTCTTTTATTGCATTGAAATGATGCAACTGCCTTGGAGTTCCAAAGGGAATATCCTTCTGTGGTGGTGAAGGTATCCCTACTTCAGGAGAAACGGTTCAAAAAAAAAAAAAAAAAACGGTTCTGGATTCCAACCAGGTGTGAGCACCATCACCATGTTTTCCTGCATCCTTCTTAATACTTTGTACTTCCCTGGATGAGGGTTTTAGGGAACATGATCTCCTACACCTTCAACCTTGCTATTAGGCCTTGCTATTAGCTCTTTCTACTTTTTTTCTTGCTTCTCCATCTAGGTTGTCTCTTTCATTCTTGTGTAAATTTCTCGAACTTAATATTTTTAAAAGCTTCTAAAACGGTAAGGATTTTTAGTGAGTTCATGTAAGCCTTGTGCTTCATCTGAACCATTCTTATCATGGATGACCTCATCTTTCTAACAGGCCTTCCATCTTTGCCCTACTATGTACCGTTTTTTACCCAATTGGGTTGGATTTTCCTTTGTGACTAGTGGTATTGGGGTCATGGTTCTTTCTCGCCTTTTTTGTCTTATGTTATTGTGGTAGGTTGGTTGGGGAGGTTTAACATCCACCCAATGTGGCAACCTCGCCTCTTATACTTCTTCAGAAACTTCAAAATTTCTAAACACTTCAGATAGACCCTTAGGCTCTAAATCTCCACTCAACCTCTGGAACACATTCTTGGTGGTTTCCTTGTTTGTTTCAACAGCCCGAAGAACACTCTTGCGAGCGTCCTGTTCTTCTACCTCTTTCCTTCTGACCAACTCTAGGTTAATGATGGCACCTGATATTGGTACCTCAACCTCACACTCATACTAACATTTGCTACACAAATCTACTCTGTTGACCACATCTATTTTGGGTCCGTTGGGCAGCCTTCTGACACTTTCTATTAGCCTAACTACTTGATTTCTTTCTCCCCTTTCATCCATGATAGCATTTCCTTTCCCCCTCTCAACCCAATTAAGGTTTATTATGTTAATTGGGACTTCAGGAAATGGATCTATGTCAATCATCATATTGGCTTAGGGTTTCTCAAGCAATAGTTTTCCTTTGACTATAAGGTCTTGGATCCAATCTCTGAATTGCACACAATTAGCAATAGAGTAATTGAAGGTATAATAGACCTTGCAATACTTTTTTCCTCTAAGTTTTTCAGGTTTGGGCATTTTCTTAGTGTTGTTGGGTAAGATTACTCTAGCCCTCACCAGTTCCTCATAGATATATGCAGCCTTGGTTAAATCAAAGGAATACGACTGATACTTTGGAGGCTTCATGGGTACAAAGTCTTCATCATTCATCACGATGTTATGGTCTTTAATGGGTTAAACCAATCCCTTCACCATCAAAGGTTTGAAAGGAATGGCCATCCCTACAGTACATAACTCGATCCCCTAAACCCAAAATGTCATCATTTTCTTCTGGCTTTAGGCCTTCAAACTCCAGCTGATGTATTGGTTCTTTGCTTTTATAAAAAAAAAGGCACTTTAGATGAGTGCTTCACTTCTTGTTCCTTTGTCAACAACTTCTCATACTTAGTGCCTGCAATCACCAACTCGTTAAACTGCACATCATAGAACTTCATCCTCAAAGGTAATCTCAGAGCCTTTTGGGCAATGTTATGAGTTGAGCATGGTTGATTGGGAACTGGCATCTCATCCTGGTCTTCTTGAACTCTTCATAAAATCCTCTGTAGACCCATGTTCATATTGCTTCACTTCCACTAAATTATTGATGGTCATTTCATGTTCCACCCTATAGAATTGCTCATGAAAAGTGTTTTTTGCTGGCGGTGAGCTGCCCCCATGTCTCCCATAACTTCTCACATAGGCATGTTGTCTATGCCTTGCTGAAATGGTTTTTAATTCTTCCTGGTTGTTGAGTTGTCCGAGTCCAATCCTCTCTTTGCTTTTGTGTTCTTGGGCCTCCATCGTCACAAAGCCCAGTGTTAAATATCCACCCAAACATCTCTCTTCTCTACTCCTAGTCGGTTTCGGTCTAATAGACGTGTTGGGGTCGAGTTCCTTAGGTATGTAATAACTACCTTTTTGTCATTGATGGATGATAAGGTGTGTAAAAGAGGATAAGGTAAAAGAGCTTATGGGGCATCCCACCTCCCGAGAAGCTTGAAGCGATGGAGGAGGAACCTCTCTTCTGAGGAATAGGTTGGAAAAGCAGTACTTCGAATTTTGTATACAAATTTTTTGAACAATGGCTTCAACCACTTTGTACATTTTACGTTCATTAATGTAGAAAATTTATTGCATTCCATTCGTTTCTTTTATATGGATTTGTACAAAGCTTCTTCGTTGTCAATTTGTTGGTTAACTGTATGATACATACTTCTTCTGGTTGGTCGATGAAATTTTGGTTCAAAACTTCAGATGCTCTTCTTATATGAATTTTGCTAATAATTTTGATGCTTGGCGACTTTAGCAAGGTAAATTCAGTGAAATTTACCATGGAAAATAGCATTTATATGGCATCAAGGATGAGGTTATGTTAATGATGTCCTTATCTTAATAAAAAAATGCACCTCCTTAAGGTTACTCTTAAAATGAAGATCAGCAATCTAAATTGTCTATTTTAAGCTCTCCTTCAATGGTTATCCATTGTCATCTAAAACGTGCCAAAACGTAGTTTGTTTGATAAAACTAAACTGCGAATATCAAATAGCTCAACTGTTATTAGTTGGCTAATTTTTTATATGAATGATTCTTAAGAAAGGAATTTAAAAGCTGAATGGTTTTGATCACTGGATTACTTCCCGAAAATAAATGACCTTATTTAAGAGCATAAGTAAATAATTTTTAATGGAGAAACGAGCAAGAAGGTAAATATATAGAACATAGAAGACTTGCATGTAGAAATTTAAGTGAATGCTAAAAGCGTATGAAGAGTCACTTAGTAATATGGTCTAGTGGTATTTCTCTTCACTTGTAAGTGAGAGGTCTTAGGTTTAATTCTCGCCTAAAGCGAATTTGAACCACATGTTGCTAACCCATTGTGAGGTCAAGTCCACCCTCCTCCCCTTTGTGTAGTTAATATTTCTTATCCAAAAATAAATATAAAATAAAATAAAATAAAACCCACCAAGCACTTCTACAAGTACAAAGGATGAAGGATCATAAATATAAAACACATTACAAGTAAACATACAAGTACAAAATCCCTAAAAACAGAAGACAAAACAAGCAAACACTTGTACAAGTACAGAAGACCCTAAAACCCTAAAACAAACACATTACAGGCAAACATCAAAGCTACTGCATCTTTAATTGGCTGCATGATGCATGCTAATACTCCTTGTGCTTCTTCTCTTCATTCTTGTGACCCCCAGGGAGCTTGTCCTTAATCTTTTCCAAGACCCCTTTCTTTGGCTCGCTGTCGTGGGAATGCCCATCCGGAGCGTGATACTCCGCATGAGCACCATTTCCAGCCTCCTTGTGCTGTCCCGGAAGCTTTTCTTTGATCTTCTCGACAAATCCCTTCTCCCTAGCACCATGCTCAGCCACTTTGTGCTGTCCCGGAAGCTTGTCCTTGATTTTCTCTACAAATCCTTTCTCCTCAGCAAGATGTTCGGCCTCCTTGTGCTGTCCCGGAAGCTTGTCTTTAATTTTCTCTACAAATCCCTTCTCATCACTGTGTCCGTTCTTTGCTGGAACGGATGCATGGTAAGCATCTCCCTCTTCCTTGTTGCCTGATACCTTCTCCTTCATCTTACCCTTAAGTCCCTTCTTTTTATTCTCTCCACCTTCTCCGTCACTGCTAGACTGGGAAAATAAGCAACATATAGTTTATCAGTAAAGATTGAAAATCAGATTCTTGAAAGAAAGAAAAATCACTAAGCATGTGCTGCAGTTGAAGCTAAAAAAGAAGTGAACCCTTTGATAAGCTTTGGATACACTAATTCTAGGTTCAGAAAGAACCAAAACATCACGGAGAATCAATGCACAAAACATTGGGAGAAGTGTAGATGGAGAAAACTGAGTGAAAATATCTACCGAAAAATGGTTATATGGTGCATCTAACAGTTAGTCATGATACTAATTGTTTGAGAGTATAGTTTTATGATAACGAAATCAACGACAGCTCACCGAGCTAGTCACCGCCATGGTGGTGGAGCTTTTCAGCTATAGTAGTGTGCTTCTGCTGCTCTTGCTCCTCGTGGGGTTTCTCTTCACTGTCCTTCTTCTTCAAGAAATCAAATATCCCGCAACCTTGAGCTTCTTCTTCTGCTCCCTTTGATTGCGTCTGACTCTCTTTCGGGTACTGATCTGCCATACTTGTTGACGCTAGCAAACACGAAAGTGTAATCGAATGAAAAGAAAGCTTTGAACTTTATCTAAAGTTGGAAATGGCGATTAGTTAACACTGCTCTTTCACGCATGTTTTAAGAGCAGATGGGTGTTGGTATTTATACAGAAATACTTCAAGATTTGTTAACAACTATGAAATGTACCAAGACTCCTTACGTGATTAAAAAACGAAAAGAAACGTAACATTTGCATTGGAGAGGAGAAAACTCAGAAGGTCGGTGTGGACGGTGTGCGGGATTCTGCAGTTATCAAGAGTTTTGTGCATGGTTTTTGAGATCAGGAGATTAAAAGGGATTAATGGTACGCTTAACATAATCACATGGATGTTTTGGTCGGTGTTTGGGTTGGGAAGCTAACTTTTTAGACTAAAATAGTCATATTTAATTTTGTTAATCTTGAAATCAGCTATCAAAGCATATTGCAGAACTGTGTTCCAACTGAACATGCGTCAACCCTCAATCCAAGTGAATCTTAGTTTTCTTAAACTTTGGTCTGAAATCCAAGACAAGAAAAATTTTATACGTCTCAAGCTCTCTTAGAGTACACTTAAATTGCTGGAATTAACATGGTCTTACTCAGGTTAGTGTATTTTCGTATTACATGAATTATGGATAGGAAAATACTTGTCAACAAGTACTTTTCTCTTTATAGACAAATCACAGTTTAACATGTGTGTATAAATTTTTCTTTTGTATTTTTGAAAAGTCACTTATCAAGAAATTTTTGGTGATTGTCACATTGTGCTACCAATCCATACCATGCTTGGGTCCATGACATACCAATCATGTTGCCCAACCATATTATAACATGTGGATTGGTAACAACACATGATTTTGATACCTTGTTGTTTGCAGCATATAACTAATTAGGGTATTGGCTTTAATACTGACTTGTATTTGTTAATGTTCAAAGCTGGAAGTCAACAAAAACTAGTATGGTCAACTCTTAGTAGGCTTGGAATGTAAAGCTAGATTATGCAAAAAAGAATTTAAGTAGTTCACCTCTGAAAATGGGCTAGGTGCACTATAGTGATCTGACATATATGTGATATGAATTGTAAGAGCACTTTACAAAAATGTAATGAAATTTTCCTCTCGTGGATCAAACCACTTATAAGGGGTCCATGGCCTTTTTATATAGACTCTAAGTGAGCCCTAAAAATCCTCGGCTCTTAACTCTCTCATCGCCCTACCATTTAATGGGCTGAACACACAAATGGGACTTATACGCTATTCTTCCACTATCCACTCGACATGTGAAGAGGAAGTGACATTTACACAGAGCTACTGCATGATTTCCCAGGTCAACGCGTGACAAGCACAAAGCTCGTTATAGAAAGGTTGAAAAACACTTTACTTGAGCGCTAGGTCTGACACTATTTATGACTCTTTATAGACTTCTGTTCATGTTGATGGCCAACATGTAACTCTGAGTTGATGCCCAAATAGACCTATCTCCGGATCTTTGGCCAAAATTGTCAAGTTTGCCAATTAGACTGAGCGGTCAGAAAGTACTTTAAGCTCTGCGCTTGTCTCTTCTTTTTAATAGATAATCCAATGCTCTGAGTGGTCGTTTGATGGTGGTCGTCCTTCGTTCTCGTAAGTGGGGCTTTGTCATCGGGACTCCTTTATGCTAGTGTCTGGATCCTCTTATTCTTTAGTGGGCTCTTTCCAGGCCCATCTCTTCGGTCCAAAAAACAATTATTTAAGACCCTGCGTTAATAGTGTTTGATACAGTAATTGTCAGATATAATTCATGTCAATTCGCATACCAGGAAATACCAATCATATTAAAAAGACAGTTTATTGCATGGATGATGCAAGCAAAGTAGTTGTCAATTACTTGAGTTGGTAAAATTGAGCAAAAAGACTAATCAAAAGTATCAGTTTATCCGCTTAATTACGAAGTTTTCTTAGGAAGGCTTGAAGAAGTTGGCATTTAAACTCCACGCTGCTGCAGCAACAAAAAGAAGGCTCAAAAGAAGACCAGAGCATCCAAGTGCCATGTTTGTAAGACGTGGTTTCTTAATTGCAATCCACATAAACATATGTCAAAGGTACTGATACAAACCCTCCAATGAGAAGTAATAGGTATCCCAGGAATGTAAATGCTACTGATATTAAAAAAAATAAAAAAATCAGTCCTCCGAAGAGAAGGCGAATAACTATCTGAAGCCATCTCAGGCATCTCTCCTTCTTCCAACTGGTGTACTTGATATTCATAATGTCAAAAGCTACCATGCCATAGATTTGGTACGTCGTTAAGCAGCTGATGATGATTACTATGTAAATTAGCCCAAGCACATGTTGTGAGGTGTTATGTCCATGAAATTCTGATACTGCTTTTAGCATAGCTCCATTTGTGTAGGGTATCTGTATAAATCAGAACATATTGATAATTTGAGTTTGAGATAATTGGAGTTTGAGATATTTTGCAGTTAACGAAGAAAAGAAAACGGAATGTGCAAAATCCAACTATATATGGCCAGAGGAAACATATATTCACATGGCTATGTGTACATATGCCATTGTTCCTCCACTCCACATTCTCTTATGAGATGGGTATTTGGGCTTGTGGGTAATGTCCGTCACAGTCGAGAAAGTTTCCCTTGCATCGCATTACAAAATCAAACTACAATAACTTTGTACTGACAATAAGATCAGGGTTAATATTTTGGCTCATAATTTTCAATGTCCATCTTTTGTTGATAAATTAATTTCTTTTTAGTAATGTGACTATGGCATCAATAATGTCAATATCGGCATTGATACTACATTGTTACATTTTGTTATTGAACTGTTATATACCAATGTTATTGATGGTACAGTGACGGTACTTAAAAACAGACATCATGTCCAAGAAAACTCACCTGCATCTCAAGGATAACGTTGTGGCCTATGAATGGGAGAACAATGATGCCAAAAGCATTCAAAATCGTAAAAAAAAAAAGGAAAACTAATGAAAATGACTTGAAAACTTTGAGTTTTAATAATAAGGAAAAAATAAAGGGTAAAGTAAATAGTACCAGGATTGACTTTTTAGTGTAAAAATGTAGTTTTTCGTTAAAGTGAACAGTACCGGAAGTTTTTCGTTAAAATTCCTTAAAAAAAAATCTATCCAGTTTGTCGTACATCTCCGGTGGGTTGCATGAAAGGCTACCAGGCCTGCCAGCCCAAATCAAAGTACAACATGCAATAGCTGTGGTAGCACCAATCAATGAGACCCAAGCTATGTAGTTCAAGTTGGGAACAATAGCCATGCACATGAGCAACAAGAAGCACTCTACATTAGTCAATGACTTGGCATCACAGTTTACCCCATCGTTGCACCCCGTTTTGATGAAAAGCTTTACGGTTCCACCTCCTATGATAATTAGCTGGACACATGTACCAGCTGATAGCTTTTGACCTAAAAAAGCAGAAATCATAGGTATTTAGTGCATTATATAATATGAAATATGAATAGTCTGTACACATACAAGTATACGCTGCATTTGTGTTATTACTAACCGAAGGCTGTCATTGCTAGGTCAATGTATATACCACAACGAGTTCCAAAGTCGGATTTGTGCTGTACAAGCAACCATATCGTGTAGAGCTGCCATTTAAATGCCAGTGACAAGCAATGATTCCCCATGCCCTGCAATGTAATACAACCATTGAAAGATGTTGGGAAATTAAACTAAGAGCTAAGGTTGTGTTGACTGACAAACATACAATTTCTTACATATATGTATTCAACTATGCATATGTAACTTTCTAGTTTTGACCCATATGAGGCTGTCAAATTGGCTTTTGCTTGTTATAAATAATTACATTGTTATAAAAGCAGTGTGAATGCTCATTGAAAAAGCAATATGAAAGGAGACCTCGAAAGATGATTAAAGTTTACTATTCATTTGATGACTTTGGTTCCCATTAATGTATTAAAATAACTCATATTTAGGGTTTGTTAGGTCTTGACTTTTGACTATAGAAGATTGAATAATAAAGGAAAGAAGTGAGGTGAAAAACATACGGAGGAAAGGAAAGGAAGAGAGAAAAGAAAGAAGAGATAGAAATAAAGAAAAGAAAGAAGAGAGATGTAGAAGAAAATATCAGTGAGCCAGGCTAGAGAGAAGAGAGAAAATAGTGAGAGTTATTTTTTACTCTTATTATTTCCAATAATGAAAGAAAGTACTACTGCTGCCTCGAGGATGTAGGCACACTGGTTGAACCTCTGTCCTCAATTTCACAACATGTTATCAACACGAGAAGTTTTCGTGTAAGTGGAAAGCACACCGCCATAAATCTGGTGAAGAACTACTTATCTCTCATCTATGTTGACTCGAATCTCACAGATAAGAAAATCCTTTTATTTTATCCTCATACGACTAATTTTCTTAAATCAAATATATGTTGTTGTTGCGCACTAAAATAACAAAGTTTGCTCTTAGTGAACTGGTGTTTCTTTGTTTACTTTCATGCAAAGTTGTGGGTTCAAATCCTTTCACTACCCCGAGTGTTCTATTTCGTGCATGCTTTTAAGAAAAGAATGATATATATATATATATATATATATATATATATATATATATATATATATATATATATATATATATATTAAATAAACAAAACATCTTAATCAAACTTTTTAAACTAACACATGTTTAGTCTAAATAAGTTAAAAAAAAAATGGTTGGGGATTCTAGTTACTCCTACTGTTGTGGCTTATTTTAATCTGAGAAGGGAGAGAGGTAGCATGGCAGAGAGATGTGTTTGTAGTGTTGTGTAGATGATGTTTTATCCCCCCTAAATAGTGCCTTTATTTATAGTAATAAGGAAAGGAAGAACCTTCTCTTTCAAGGAATACAAGTCCTAATAGGGAAAAAAAAACTAGTATCAAATCTAATTTAGAATTTACATAATCACACTTTAATATAATGTTTATTTATAACACTCCCCTTTAAGTGTGTAAATACTCAAGTAGATTTTCCATCATATAGAGTTGAGAAAGTCGACTCGTTGACACTGATTATGGGAACACACTAGTCTCAAAGTAGTAGGAACTT